ATACCGACAATGTTCAAGAAAGACTAGTGTGCTACCCACTAAGTTACTTGAAAAATTTCCTCTCTCAACACAGTCACTTTAGACACCTAGGGATATTTTCTTAGCACACACCACCACGTCTACTTGTATATTGGTATCTCAACTCTTTTCTCGTTACTTTTCAAAAGAATCGCCCCTGACTGGGGCTTGTTGTTCTTACCAGATAACCTTACCAGAGTCGATGGAAGAATCACTTCATTGAGAAGAAATACTGGCCTTGAACTGGTTACCTTCTCTTTTTCCTTTTTTTCTTCGGAAGTAAGGCTGAACCTTGGGCGCCTGATAATTATTCTTGTGAAGCAAGTATTAGGAATCCTTGCACGACTATAAGTTCCTGCTTAAGAAGTTTGCCGACTATTGTATATCTGGTCACAGTCAAACTTGGCGAAAAATTGGTTGTCACGCATGAATTCCTTGTTTTAAGATAGTGGTTCGAAGTCCCTGGGAATTTCTGAAATCAATATTGCTAACTTGGTCACTATGTCCGTTTTGAGGGCCTCTTCAAACTGTTTATTATTTCAGAGTTGTCAGCTGAAAGGGAAAGGGATCAACCATCGCTCCGAAACAGGCGCCCTACTGGAACAAGCGCCAATGTGGATGAGGTTGATGATTATAATGTTAGGAGTCGTTCTCTCCCTGATCAGTTCAGAGGTAAGAATAAGCTTCCTAGTCGTAGTGGTCTTTAGCTTATGAATAACCAACACAACAAGTAGCCACAATGAGTCGAAAGGCATTGTCAACGGTGAGATCGAAATTATAATAGTGTCAGTTGTGCCTTGAATATTTATTGATTCGCATCAGTGCTACATGAGGCTCACTGAAACAGTCATTCTGAATCCAAAGAGGTTCATTAGCGTTGCCGATTGATTTGTTGTTGTACCCAAATATCCCTCTACGCGATTCGTAAATGTCATGACATTTTTCAGGAAACCCTACGCACGAATGAGAACGCGGGAGATACAGGGAAACAAGCATAGCGAGAATTTTTCCTTAGTACGGCCCAATATCCGTGTGAAGTGGGTAGACATCTCCGATCAATCATCGGAAAGTAGTACATTTGGCGGTGCCGCCGATGAGATAAATAGCGTGTTTGAAACGGGAACACTCAACCATCATTTTTGATCTCCCTGAATACGATCCCCTTCTCGCAACAGCTGTTTACGACGTACGATTGACCTTGTACACAATGCACATTTCAAGACCAAGAGGGCTTCATGGAACCCACGAACCAGGGGGCCGTATCTGACTTCGCAGAAGGTGTATCCGGCGAATTTTGCTGGTGTCTTTTTCCCTGCCGAGGTGCGATATATAGCACCAGGGATCGTTTTGCCGTTGGGGGAGTGTTTTGCAAGGTACACCTCCTCCCCTGACTTCTTACTCTAGTGCGCCCCCCCCCCACCTTCCCATCCCCCATCCTGCCTACCATCTTCCTAAATTTCCCTAACATTTTCCCACTTCCTAGTTTTTTTTCGCAGGTGGGTGTAGCGTTTTCAGAACAGAAAAAAAAACCGGGACACAGGTAAAATCATTCCTCTCAAGAAAATTTTTCCGACAAATTTTTCTCTCCCCTCTTCCCTCTATCGACCGAATACGACCCCACCTCGTTTGGGATCCACAACGCGAGACGTGCCGTGATACCAGCATAAACCATACGAAGGGCGCAACAATTTCGCTAATTCTGATAGCCGATCTGCGTTCGTTTCGTTAACGGCTATAGCCAAACAGGGAGGGAGAAGGTGGGAAATGGGGAGGGGGTCTGATTTGGTTGCGCTCAACACGGTGTATTGTGAAGAAGGATCACCAGTCGTTTGCACACGTTCTATGCTTGTGCGAAGCAATGAACTGCTATGAAAACTGCTATGAAATGCAGTAATAGAAGTTGTCTTGAAGAGCACTGTGTGCTTTCACCCTGTCATGCAGCACCATTCTCCAGCAATAATTCTCAGCCTACTCCTGCGTACAATACCTGTTGCCAAGCCTTTGATGGAGAGTTCTCATCCAGGACAGTGG